GTATAGAAAACACATTTGAACTTGGTCAAAGTTCATTCTGAAAGTCCAATGCTCCTGCCTACATTGTCCTACAGCAGCCTTTGTAATTTATATCTGTAAAGGGCCTGTACCAAATGATTGCTATGCCTTTTGGTACCTGTACAACTTGTAGTTTTTGAAATATTAATGTTGAAACTTTATTCCAAATTCATAGAATGGGAGTCAATGGGGCTTTTAATGGTCCAATACAGCCCCCAGCTGTACTCAACTTGGTACTGCACCATAGTTTTTATATTTAATCTCAATAGTTCAGTGTTTACAGTACTAATATGATTGTATTTTGATGTTTTACTATATCATTATCTTAATATTGCTCTATTTTTGTAATATTATGCAGTTTAGTGTCAATAATTGTATTGGCAAWGTGACCTCTTTCTGCACACATACAAACCAACCCCTGGCACCACACCCTGCCACAGCTCCAACAGTCTAATGGTCTATGTCATGGACTATCATGTGGGAGATCGGGTTTCAAAACCTAGCTAACGCAGCTTTAACAAAAAATCTCTTCAAACTTCATATTGTCACTCAATTACCTTAATTACAAACACCTGCTGACGTGACAAGCACAAGCTGGTATAGAAAACACATTTGAACTTGGTCAAAGTTCATTCTGCAAGTCCAATGCGACAGGCAAAGCCATGCTGCAATGACATGCTACGTGGCAATGCACACTTGTTTTTACATCGTAAAAACCCATGTCTAGTTACTTTTACTTTTACAGTTTTTTGTGCACTCTACCCACCTGAGCCTAAACCTAAATAGGAAGTGTAACAAGTTTATTACTGTAAAAAACACACATTAAAAAAATTAATTTGTAAGGGCCAAGATTAATTTATCTTTTGATTTTGTTTTGTTTTGATTTTTTTTGCCACTTCAATAGAAAACAAAACTGAATGTTAGTTTCTTAATTTCTGCATCAGTGGCTTTTTTAAATCTATTTTCTTTCCTGTTCAAATCTAACCAAGTCCAACTGCTGCTATTTAACTTACTAGCTTATTATTAATTTATTATAAATTTAGAATGAAAAGTAAGGAAAATGGTGTTTGGTTGATTATTTCTTTGTTGGAAATAAATCCGATGATTGGCAGCACCTGGAGGCACCAATAACTACTACTTCTACTTCTCATCAAATGCATGTTCCTTACAAATGTGGCACCATTTAAAAGACAAATGACAGGCTTTCCAACAGTATAAGATTTATTACATAAGAAGCATTGTTACAACAAAGAAATAATCTACCAAACACACATTTCATTACTTTTATACTAGTATTTTACAGTGCTGGAGGAAGTATTCAAACACTGTACTTAAGTAAAAGTACAGATAAACAGACAAGAATGTACTCTAGTAAAAGTAAAAGTACCACATTAACATTTTACTTGAGTAAAAGTAAGTACTTGCTTTTAAAAATACTTTAAGTATTAAAAGTAAAAGTACTTGCTTAATGTATTCGCTAATTGTCAGTGTTGTATATAGTACCTCAAAGTGATACTTGAGTAAAAGTACAAGTATCTTATCATAAAACTACTTTGGTAAAAGTCTTCTCTAAAAATATTACTTGAGTAAAGGTCTTAAAGTATCTGTTATTTTTTGTACTTAGGTATCAAAAGTAAATTTCTGACACAAAATCTACTTAAGTATTAAAAGTAAAAGTACTGAGTAAAAGTGAGCAGTTAGATTTTTCCCAAATGACATTTATTGGGAGGTTACTTCTCCAAAAATATTTTTCTAACAGCGTGCAGCTGTGGGTTGTGTACAAAGTAATACTGTCAGAATGGTAAATATTTATACTTCTCATCCAACC